CCGGTGTTGATATTGTCCTGAGTCCCCGGGCTGTAGCTGCTCTGGTTGATTGGATTCCAATCAGTAGCCGGTTGTGTGCGGTCCGATTGGCTGGCTCGTTCAAAACTTCGAAGCCGCAGGGGGCTAACAGGTGCCTATTCGTCCTCGCTAACTATGCACCCACAAACTGTAGCGATGATTCGGTAAAAGACGACTTCTATCGCCAACTGAACGAGCTCCTTCGCCACAGAAGAAGCTCGGACACTGTTATGCTGGCTGGGGATCTGAACACTAAAGTTGAAAAATTATCCACTGATGAGCTGCATTTGGGCGGCTAACATTGTGTGGGCTGCCGTAATGATAACGGTGAGCGGTTACTTCATTTGTGTGAAGATGCTCGCTTATTTGTTGCGAGCACTAATTTCCGACACAGCACCCGCCGGAGGGTGACTTGGCGCCCACCAGCCTCGAACCAGCTGTGGACGCAAATCGATCACATTTCGGTAAGTTACCGCTGGACTGACTGCGTCTAGTACTGTCGCTTGATTTGGAGCACATGTGTGAACACTGACCATGCACTTGTATGTGCTGACCTGCAGATTCGTTTTGACGGACGTCCACAACGACGTTGTGAGCACATTGACACCAGCCAACTTGCTTGATGGTTGTAAAAGCGGTCTCCTTCTCTTTTCCGCAACAGCCACTTGGTGATATTCTCATCATTGATTCTCAACAGGGTTCTTTCTCGGATGAGACTATCAGCCATACAGTTGCAAAGATTACAGGAACGAGTTAGGATTTTCAGCTCCGTAACATAGTTCTGGACAGATTCGTTCGGGCACCTCTTTCAAGCAAAAAGAGATAGCGCTGATACGTCTCGTTAGTCTGGCCCTCGCAGAAACCGCCGAATTTGCGGATGACTGCTTGCACATTAGCTGGGTTTTCGTTCTTTACGTACCGCATCGTTTACAGAACGCGGTGTGCTTCATCTCCGATTGTATATCGAAACATCGCTAGTCGATACGCCATCGGTTGATCATTCAGCCGTATCAGTACACAGAAATCGACCCCTTATATTACACTTTCTCCAATTACTGGCCAAGTTTTGTTCTTCCATGTTCAGCGGGGCAGGTGTTCGCACGGCTGGCTGCGCGGCAAGCAGTAATTGAGCACCACTCGGCGATTTCGCCTTGATTTTCTCAAACACCATGTCGCAGAACTCGGCCCTTCAGGCACAAGCGGTTTATACGACAAAGCAATCTCAGCAAAAATGACAGTATGATCAGCATGTAGAAACATCTATGTGAATCACTAGATCAATTTCATAACTAGCGACGCTTCTGCATTCATGAGGTTTTTCTTTGAATCAGCCAAACAAACCCGCTCCAGCGTAGCCAAATACGAACCAGTCAGCGCATAGGCGAAATATGCGTAGGCGTCCAATCAACTGCCCTGTTCGCTTGCTTTATCCTGTAAATCTGTATCGTGCTTCTGCTTGCACGATCCTATCACACCATTCTGATTGGAATAGTTAGAAAACATTTACAGGCTATGAGACCGGCGCAGCAGTAACTGTATGATTAAAATTGCCCACAATCAAATGGGCGTCTTAGCAACAACTTCACCGACTGGATTTTTGTCTCGATTACAATAAAACTGGCGAATCAGAACCGTCATTTGATCGGTCGTCTAAATCTAAATGAGACCTGCAGGACAAAATCGTGTCCAACTCGTAGCCACAAAACGCCAAGAGACGACGTGCTGAGAACGACAAGAACTATGTCACAGTCAAAGATTGGTGATCCTACAGACGTGACGGAATGGTCGTCCATTGATAACCTACGTGACAACTTCAACCTAGGAGAATATAAAGGACACGTTTTTATACTCCACTTACATGCTGAAAATCCCGCGTAATGTCATCAGGGTAGTTCCAAGTAAATTGCATGTCGGTGTCCTTGTAGGTCACGATGAGATTTGCTCGCACCCGATGACATGGCAAGGTGCAGATTCTTAGTTTCTCGCACCGATCTTCCTATGGCAATCCTGGTGAACTCGGAATGAGTGTGGACCCATTCGGTTGTCCTCGCCTTACCTCGGGTGATCGGACGTTAGGCAAGCGATCCGTACTCCAGTACTGGTTTTATGGTGGAAGAGACGAGTGACGACCTCATCAGACCAAGTACAGAAGCTGGGTTGTGCACCCAAAGAATGTGCAGCCTGTTACCATATAGCCTGTTTGTGTTGTCCACGGACTTCAAATCACAACGCGGGAGATGTAACGGTAGGCGTCAACACTTTTCTCCGCGCTCATGAATACCGACTTGCTTGTGTTGATCGGGAGGCGGACTTCTGGAGACCACATGGAGAGGCGGTTGAGGTGTTTTTGAAGCAGGCCGCTGTCCTCTGTGGTGCTTATCTTCAGGTCTTCCGCAAACTAGGCACACGGCGACCGAAGGAGCTGAGATAGATCGTTGATGTAGATTACGAACAGAGTGGGGCCACAGGGGCACGCCATTAATAAAGGGATACCAGTCAGTTAGATGGCCGTACCTTCCACTTTCGTCCAATAACAAAGTCCTGCATTAACTGCTGCAGCGATCCATCAACATCGCGGGATAGTCGTCCTTTCATATCCAAGTGAAAATGCCAACTCAATAAAAATGTAAGCGGCAAATTTTGATCATCCAGTTGCAGACTGAAGATAGTACCATAGTATCATCGGGATAACTACGAAAATAGTATGTGCAACTGTACTTGTGGCAATGAGAAGAGCCGAGCCCAATCGTTCAGTCCACAAAGAAGAATGGATGGCAAAACGGTAATCCACTGGGTTAAGTGATAGTATCGACAGTAAAGTCTGTCATCCATAGCCAAGTGCAAGATTCATCGCGTAAAAGTGAAAAAGAAAAGTGTTAAACCTCTAATTATATGCTGAAAATTCTGCTTAATGTCATCGGTGTAGTTACAAGCAAGTAGTATGTCAATGTTCCTGTGGCAAGAAAAGGAACCCAATTGTTCGGGCCTCAAAAAAGAGCAGGGGCTCCTCTTCTGATAAGGAAAGTTATAGCAATAGTGTGACAATCTGCTATCCGTAGAAAGGCGAATGATCCGTGTGCTTCGAGAGGGCGTATTTAGTTTGCTGGTGAAAGCTGATGCTGAATCAGCCGGTACCAGTGGACGATCCTTCAGTGTGCCAGCACGGCATCTCTTAAAGGACCTCGGAAAGACAGGCAGACGGCAAACAAACAGGAGTGCATCGGATGCACACGTGAAAATTGGATGGCTTATAATCGTACCAGTATTGATGATTTGCCATACTTTATATGAACTTAATTACTTCACAGATTAGCTATCCGTGTTTTTACATAGGCTTGATGTATGTATGTGTGCCCCATGCTAAGGCTGATGTTGCATTATTGATGCTTCTTCACCGCAGTTGGGCTAAACCAGCTTACACTTAAACTAGGTCTTTTTAAGCTGGATAAATTTCATTCCACTTTATTTGGTTTGTTCTGCCTACCTGAATAATGTTCTATTAACTGACCACGTTGCTTACGCTAATTGCGCTTATCTTCAGTAATTTTGTTGCGTTTGTAGCATTTTTAAGTAACTTGTGGACATTTCTTATTTATCGCGGATTCGTTGCTAACCAACTTACTTCATATGGTAATTTAGCGAAGTTATGCCACCGTGTCTGTATGCATTATTGGATTTTTTATTTCCGCTTGTCGTTTAAAGTGAATGGCTGTTGCTTGATATCCCCGGTGTGGCTGCGCTTGATGTGCATATTGACAAGGTGCCTACCTGTCTATTACCCACTACCTCGTTCATACTGGCTCTAGAGCAGTTTCTGGTACATTCTTTGCAGCTTACAACAGATGCACGCCAGCTGAGCTACCAGCAAGGGGTGGGCAACATTCTGGAGAGGTACAAGCCGGCTATTATGGAATCAAAAATTTATTAAACAAAATTTGTGCTGTGCTAAGAAATGATATTGTCGTTGGAGAGGGAGACTAAGAGGGATGGGGGGGGGGGGGCAAAGAAACTCACAACACGAACGCCACTGAGGTCGGCTGCTAGCCATGTCAGCAAGTGTATCCAGTCAAACGTGTTCATCGTCTTTCGCACCCCAGCCAGGGAGCCGAGAGGCTCCAACCGAAGCCAACGTCGAAGTAAGGGCCTTCATTGCTCTCGATCAAGTCATTATTTGGCCACCTCTTCTTCCATCCACATCCCCGGTGTGCAAACAACGTATATCGCGGGAGTCGGTGGACTGGCATGCATAACACGTGGCCCCAGCTATCGGAACCTGGTGCGTGAAATAACGATGCTGAGCGGTTCATTTCCCTTTCCTGTACCATAAGCAAGGCGTCGAACATGCCGCTGCTTACGCGTTGTTCCCAACAGATGTGGTTCAAACTGCGAAAACACCGGTGGTCGAACATAACTAGTCTCCTTTTGTCTGCTGATCTAATGGGCCAGATTTCACGGCCGTGAAGAAGAGTTGTACGGACGGCTGCATTGTACTCTCTACCCTTCAGATATAGAGTGATGTTGCGCCGGTGCCATAGGGGGCGAAGGTTAGCAAAAACGACTCGAGCTTTTGCTATACATTTCCTGATCTCGTCTTCGATCTCAAGGGCGCTGATACAGCTTCCCAAGTAGTTGAAATTTGAATGACTTCCAGCTGATCCACGCCAAGGGTCAGCGCAGGAGGCGGTTCCCTATGGCCTATGGTCCCCTGGTGGCCTCTTAGTCACCGGATAAGCGGATGACGACAATTTTTACCACCCGAACACCTGATAGAAGGAGCACTGCTTATAGGTGACTGGGTTTGTTAACATGAGAGAATGCTGCCGGTTCTTTCGCAGATTCTTGTCTTCACTTTGACTGTTGATGTTCATTGAAAGCAAGTATGGTCAGGCTCAGCCTTACTTCTGGTTTTTCAAGTATAGTCTGGTTGTTTTGTTTCGCGTCACATTTATTAACTGACTTCCCTACGCATTGTGTTTGTCCAGGTACATTTGAACTGCTCATCTATACCAAAAAGAACGCAGACATCCCGGATGGATGGGAACAATCCGGACCTCAGTATGTGTCCGATTCGACCGAACTAAAACTGCGATCTTTCTCCACCACGGTGCATCGAGTAGAACACATGGTGTCTTATAAAGCTAACTCTTGAATGCTATTTTGTACACTTAGACATATTTTTGGTATATTGCACTTTTTCACTGTTTTATATAAATTATGTCACTATCCCATCCGGTGTGCTGTCCAAGAAATCGGGCCGCAAATCTAGTCACAGCGCTTTGGTTCATTTTCCTTGCGTTTGTACTACAATAATGGCATTTGCTTTCAATAAAGCCTACCGGTGTCGCTAACACGCATTGTCTTCAAAGTTTGTGTCCAACTGTAAACTGCTTCGATTTTTATCACGGTTGTGTGAACAAGCATATCGCGCAGCTGTGACCTGAAGGTTATTTACACTAGCGCCCAACCGTTTCGCCGTTTGAAGGCGAGTGAGGGTAAACCTTTGGAACAATGGTTTTACACGGGTAAAAAAGCTAAACCTTAACAGGTCCTGTAGGATGGTAAAAGTTCAAAATATAGAAGAACTGTCGGCAAAATTAGGTTCACATCGGTGGACTCACTGCGGTATACGTAAATCCAATGTAATTCATAAGGAATGACGACACATGAGACGTTGGTAACAAATCGTATCGCATTTTAGTGAAAAAAGTGGAACGTATTCTGGGGGTTGATCGGACCCTTGTGTTTGTCCGTGGACAATGAGTCATGTGAGATGATGCAGCGAAATGAGTACACGGTCAACTCGGGCTTTGAACTCTGCCAGTGTGAGAGCACAGATGACAGATTCCGGTAGGGCGTTGCACTCTTTGCAAACGCGTACGGAAAACAAATTCCGACGGCATTCCAAACGACTGTGCTAATCCGTCAGCTTGGTATGGTGGCCTCACAAATCGCTGTTGTGACTGTGCTATAGCAAGAAGCGGCAGGTGTGGTTGGTATCTCTCAAAATCTGGTAAGTCAAAATGAGGTCCACGCGCAATCGCCGCTACTGTCCGCTGAAGACCCTGAGCAGTTGTAAGCTTCGTGCATACGACAAATTATACATTCTTGGTTGTCCAGCGTTGGGGTATCTCCAAGGCGGTGCGACCTCTCCTCAGCCATGGCTGCCAGACCTGTATTGCATATACCACATGTGGCCGTATGTATGAGCCGAGAAGTTATGGGAAAAGCGTAGGGTCGAATGCACGCTTCAGGATGCCCCTCCGAGATGCCGTTTCAGTCTGATTCGAACATCCAAGGTCGACCTGGACCAAATCCTTCTCGCCAGAAGACGTTTGAAACTGCCGGTTGCAGAGTTTGTAAAAGTACACCAAATTGTGCCGTAAGTGCAACACTACATTTGTCCACATTGAATCGAATTAGATTCTGGATTGACCCCGCGTATACCCTATCCAGATCAGTTTGAAGTACTGTGATATCATCTGGTGTTTTGATCGCCCTCCATACTTTGATGTCATCGGCATAAAGCACAGTTGTTCTCTTTTAAGTGGATACGTTCATCTCGTTTTATCCAGCCTTGAGCCTAATCCATGTGCCTTGTGGTTCTTTATAGATATCAGACCTTGAAATGAGTTTTTGGGAAGCGATGTTGCTTTACCTGGATGATTAATTGATCCTCAGCTGTTTGTCATGTGTCTGTCAGTCTCTAGTCTCATATTTGGCTGACGTGGCAAATTCATGCCTTCGTCTGAAGTTCTTGCCTGAGATGTTTCTCTGTTTTCCGTACTCTATACCACGCCTACCTGGCCCGCGCAAACGTTTACGGGAATATCTCCTCTGAGTCCAACGCAATATGTTAATACTATTGCGTTCGCTCTGTTTCTCCTTTCTCAGGATTTTGATCGGACTGACCATACATAATTCTCTCCTGTCTCCCAAATATTCATGGATACAGCTACTGATAGGTTATGTTACCTGGAGTACGCCGACCATCATCATCAATACACGAGGATAGAGAACACACCTCAGCTAATGTGCATCAACACAAAAAGATAGGAGATTAGACATTACAAACTACAAGAGCGAAAATAATGCTAAAATCACATTATGCATTGAGTTTGAGATCGTTGTTGGAGAGGAAAGCTAAAGGGGGGGGGGCACAGCACAAACACCACTGACGTCGGCTATTTGCAACGGCAACCAGCGTATCCAACCAAATGTGTTTACCGTCATTCGGACCCCATCCCGGTAGTCGGGAAACACCAGGTTCGAAATACGGGACTTCACTCCTCTTCTTCCATCCAGACCCCGGGCGCACAAACAACGCACGATGCGGAAGTCGGTGGGTTGTTGTGTTGCACAACACGTGGGCCAGAGATCGGAGCCTGATGCGTGATATAACTGCACCAAATACGCGATGCTTGAGTATGCCGATGACATAACTCTCTTTGGTTCGGACTTAATCGCTATGCAAGCGTTGCTGAATGAGCGGAAGCTTAACGGTACGCGCTTTGGCATGCGCTCTGAAGACCATCACTTCAGTTGGCGTCGGTTGGATACACTTGTTGATTTGACAATAGCGCTTGTGTTGAGCTTCTTTTTCCTTTCCCTCCCGCTTATTTACCCCCTCTAAACACGATCTCATTCCCGATGCATACTAATATCCTTTGTTATTTTTTATATTTCATTTTGTATTTTTATTCTGTAATGGTTTTTGGTGTAGGGAGCAATATTTGAAGTATGTTTCTCACTTATGACTAACGTGTAATGATGATGAGTCGCCTGCTGCGGCATGTGGTGTTTACCAGTAGTGCCCTCCTTATAGTTGAAACTCCAAGGTTATTAGCTAATGACTGCAAAACGTTTATCACCTTCCTTGAGCGGGGAACTCGCAGTCGGCCACATCAATGGTTGGTTACACCATAAACTATGGGACAATCACAAAATCGGTGGCATTCTCGCTTTCATTCCCTTATTTTTGGCCGATATCTACTCCATCCGGCGACTTTATTTCCTGCCGATACATTTATTATTAGAATTTTCTTCAGTCACGTGACTTGTGGCACCTCGATGCACGGATCTTAGTCGACAAACCGAATGGACTGAGTCATCAGTAGCACGTCGGCACACTGGACCGACGCTTCGCTGCCGCGCGTAGGCTGAGTATACCGCGAGGACGCTCGCCCCTACTCGGATTCGGACTAGTGACCTAAAGATTGCAAGCCAGGCGTGCAATCCCTTCGACCAACTGACTAACCCTCAGCCGGTGGTCGAATGGTCTGCACGTTTGGTTAGCAACCATAAGGTCACCGGTTCGAATCCGCGTAGGAGTGGGCGTCCTCGCGGTATACTCAGCCCGCGCGCGACTGGTGGTGGTCGCGCGGCAGCGAAGCGCCGTTACGGCGTACAGCTGACACATTATTATTAATTATTATTAACCCTCAGACGTCACTTTTGTACGGTGGTGGAAAAAGTCTCCGTACAAACAGGTTACTTGTGCCCCGCATCGTCATTGAACGGAGACACCTGGTTGACTGGTTTCGTCAGAATCACTTATCACCATGTTTACAAGAGGGCATGTTAACTATTGGAGTAATTGAACTCCACTCTCTGTGAGTGGACAGCAACCGCACCTTGATTTTGTCGTTGTTGACGGATAGATATGTTTTATCTCTCCTGGTGCTACTCGAGATGCTCACGGCAACTTATCCAGACAGACTGGGCTAAAGTTAAACGAACGGTTAACCTTTGGGGTCCCTCACTGCGCTACACAATGGATTAAACGTCATTTGAAACGAAGACCCGTGGTAATAGTCACTTATCTAACGATTGTGATCTTAGTTGAAACAGATGCATCGCGAGGAGTGTCGGAACATCGCGGACTTGACGCCTTCCGAAGACATGAGTGTCCATTGCAGAGGTTGCATTTTTCTCTGGCACCAAAGAAAGTGCGAGGTGACGTGTGCATTTTTCAATCGGTGCTATATGGTTGCATAGGCTTGCACCAATGAAGGAACCGCTAATATCGTTTGTCAACAGAGTGGCGTTTATTTACCCCCCCCCCCGCTGCCCAGGGTCGTCACAGCGAACTCAGTTTTCCCGCAGCTTCTGATCTGGGGTTAAGGTGTATCACCTAAGTGGTGACGAACCATTGACCTTTCAGGGAACCTACTCATTTTTGACGAATCATCGTTATGAGGTTTGAACAGGCACTTCGTTGAGGCAAGGGGTCTGCAATGCTTTAGCTTGGTTGGTGCTTTGTATGAGCTCGAAGCACTACTAGTTTTTGCGCGAGCACTTAGCATGTAAACCGGTGTTTTTGTCGACAAAATTGAAGTCACATTGGGTCATCCCTTGCACTCGGACAGTTTGTATAATGGCTAACCATCTGCCGCGGCGGGCACTGCTTGCCGTTACTGGTTGAGTAAGAATCAAAAGTAGCCATTTTAGAACATAGCAGGCAGTTTGTGAGAATTTGCTGGAACTTTTTATCAGGTTAGCGATTACCGTTTTTAGGCTAGGTGTACATCAGGATCCACCATATCAGTAGTCAAACATCCTGTTCGATGTGACTCAGTCGCTTCTGTTCGGCTATTTTTCATTTCGATAAATCGGTTCTGAGCGGAGATCATTTTGAAGTATTCTTTGTGTTCATGATTGGCTACACGCAAACTCCACTGGTAATACAATTCATTACGAAATGAAGTTTGGTCGATTCGGCAATTTGGACCTTAAATGAAAAAAAGAATGTTAGGCGTTGTTCGTTTGCAACACTCTACGGCCATTTTCAAACTCGTTTGCACTTATCCATTAGCGATAATAGGACATACGGAATGTCAATCGAAGGCACTCACACTAGGATTGCTTCAAAACAATCCCTGCTTAGCCATTAACCGTCCTGATAAGTGTTGACCGCCACAAATCCATGGCGTAAGGGTGGAGCTTTCGGCTAACAACCTCAAGGTCTCTGATACGAGTTGCAGTCTTGCTGCCTCTACCTGGCAACTGCAACCCCTTGTGCAAAATGGGCCATGGAGTGTGGTGTGTTGCGAGTGGGCAACAACATTCGTCTCTCATTGTTAGATTTTGTTTGTTCTTTTTCTCTTGCTACTCCCCTGTGATGACAAGAGTCGATTGGAGTGGATCCACCGAACTTCATTGTCCGGATCTCAGCGGGCGAAAAAAGCTGAATTTGGCTGGGAGAAAACTCTTCCCGTATCTACATTACTATTGGCTAGTGAAACCGAACTACTAATCATGGCAACTGATATGGCTATTCTGAAATGGGAACATTCGTAGATTGAACTATACATTTTCATTGGTAGTACCCGTTTTCGGTAGCTGCTCCTCCAACATGATTTTGTCTCTAGGCATTGATTTCTGGCTTAGATTACGATTTGGAGCTAGCAGCGGATGAGATCAGTTCAGCCGGAATCGCATGAAGAGGATCTAACAGAATTGAACGACTAATACACGGATAGGGGATTCTTTCACCTGGAAAAGTGGCACGAGATACCAACTTGTTTCCGTTTTGCGAAATAGAATAGACGATGTTGACGCTGTTTTCAGAGAGGCAACAATATAATGCGTGAATTCGCTTCAATCTTGTTAACACATGGGGGTGTGTGCTCACTAGTCCCAACAAGCCGCTTTTCATGCATGTACCACCCATGTACGATTGCGTCACTGCCAACTTGTCCCGACGCCTAGGAAACGCTGTTGAAAGATCTACTTTGCGAGTGTTACGCCTCAACAAGAATTTGTATGCAAACCTTCAAAAGATAGCCCACTCTTGTTCGTTGCCAAAATCGCTCCTGTACCACTAATCTGTTGATTGCTCGTGCAAGCTGAACGGAATCTGTGGACGCTGGTACAGGAGTCGACGCGGCCTACTTGAATTTCTCAAAGGCATTCGACCGTCTAGAGCATCGCATTCTCATCCACAAACTCAAGAAATATGGAATCGGCGATCCTGTTCTGGGCTGGATAGGAGACTTTCTCGTGCAACGTCACCTGAATGTGAGGGTTAGAAGCAACCTGTCGGAATCCATCGAAGTTCAGTGCGGCGTACCTCAAGGCTCGGTACTTGGACCCCGCCTGTTCCTAGTTTTCATAAATGATCTCGCGAGCGTGCTATCTTCTAACTGTTTGCTATTTGTTGATGATCTAAAGGTATGGCGTACTATAGCTGCAGTGGAGGATCACACAGTGTTACAGGAGGACCTGGACAAAGCGTACAATGGTCCATCGAGAACATGCTGCAATTCAACGTCACCAGGTGCAAAGTTTTCAGCGTACGGCACAAGAGTATACACAAGTACCGCCTAGGACCACAAATTCTGCAGCGGGCTTCTCACGAGTGCGATCTCGGCGTGATAGTTCAAGATGACCTCGGTTGTTTGAGACAGACTGGAAAGGCATCTAAGAAAGCAAACCAGTACCTCGGCCTTCTTCGCAGAGCTTTCGGGAAGTTTGACCCTTCGATCTTTCCAAAAATGCTTAGTGCGTACGTGAGGCCGCACGTGGAATACGCTATTCAAGTGTGGCAACCCTGGCTCAAGCACCATCTCACCGCGCTCGATACTGCACAACGTAGGGCAACGAAGAGCGTCAGAGGTTTGACCAGCCTCCCCTACCCACTCAGGCTGAAGACTCTCAAAATATACAGTGGACGTTATCGGCGTCTAAGGGGCGATCTCATAATGGTGTACCTGATCCTGAGAACCCCAACCACCCATGCCATTCCCTTCTAATACTCAGTCAAAACACCCCGCTAAGAGGTCACCAGTTTAAGTTAGTCACGCAGTATAGCCGACTGGAATGTCGGCGAAACTATTTCTCCCTTCGAGTGTCACAGCCTTGGAACGCCCTCCCGGAACATGTAATTAATGCACCCACCCTATCCGTTTTCAAAAAAACGCCTTGACGATATTCTGTCACATTTATACTACGTGCTATAGCCCATGCTGGCACTAATGCACAACAGACAGTGGATAGTGCCATAACCCTACTCGAGTATGAGTTACTCCAAACCCCTTGCACAAAATTTGATAAACGCTACTACTATAGAAACTGGATTTCTGTATCCCGTTGACCCAAGATAGTTGCACACGAGTAAGCGTTGTGCTTGCTATTTTTTATTCTTTTTCTCGTTTATTACGTGATCAATAACCACTCCCCTTATTGCTTTGTGTGCGCACATTATAATTTCAAACTCCATTTATACGGCAGTGCAGTTAAATCTGTAATCGCCCGAACCGACGATTCCATTATCCCTTGATCTATCTTTTCTCACTCTAAACACCCTACGGGACATGTCAAGCACCTGCTTTTTTACCCGTTATAAATCATTGTTCATGGTCGTTTATCGGCACTTCTGCTTCCGTGATTCACGATACACGGGGCGCATTACAAGATGGCTATGTGAGATTTCTCGTGAGCACACCCTAAGTTCTTTTTACGAATACGAATCGAGGTCTCCAAATAACCCTTTGTTATTTCGCCTAGAGTAAGGTCACATAACCTTCACTTTTAGTTGAAAAATCGATTCCGAAGACGAAATCAGAAACAAGAGATAACTGACATGCTTATTTTCAGTGGTTCACCATTAAGCTACTACCACAGCGGAGATTATAACGAACATATGAATACTGCAGTTAGAGAGCGAGATATTAATCTGTGTTGCTCCATCATAGGTGGATCGGGCACCTGCACAGAATCACGTCGTTGATCCTGTGCGGTGGCAGCATATTACAGCTACACTAAATCTTATCCAGTTGCGATACACTCCCTAAATCTCTAATCCGCAAGGTGGGCGTCGAGGAATCTTAAGTTCCGACACCGATTTCGCCTCGACTATTGTCTCAGGTAACTTGTTCCAATATTTCACCACTCGACGCTCTAAGCATAGTGGGTGAGCGATACGCCACAAATCCGGTACTACTAGTTTGTACCGATGTCCACGTGTGCTGCTTGGTGCGCGAACGTACAGCAGCGACCCCAGCACGGGGAAATGGCCCAGGTACAACATCTAGTGCATCATTATGCGAACAACTCGGAGCCGACGATATGACGGTATGAAGCCCTAGTCTCCTAAATCGGTCCTCGTACGACATACTCCGTAAACAGGAGATGAGCCAGTTAGCTACGTGCTGAACCCGTTCCAGTCTCTGCACCACACCTTTTGTGATCGGGCAATAGGCGGATGAGCCGTATCCAAGCACCGCTTATCATGGAAGAGAACAGGTGTGGCAATCTCTTCAGTCTAAGTGCCCAAAGTAGACGTAGTCCGTTTCCGTACAGTCTGTTCGTGTTGTCGACGGACTTCACATCACAGGGTGAGAGTACACGTAAATCCTTTACGGAGCCTGTGGAATGCAGCGATTGTGCGGTTACGGTGTACATACGCCCATTACCATCCTTCCCCAGACTAATAAATGATGATTTGACCGGTAGACCAACTTCTGCAGACCACCGGGTCGACGTCCTGCTGAAGGACGTCACAGTCGTCTGGAGAATCAATAACCCTTCAAATCTTCAGGTCACCTGCTGTGAATCAATCCATCTTATTCTCAAGTGTCCGTTATAGTCCCCACAGTTGTGTATTCACCTGAAAATGAACCAGTAAAAAGAAGCAAATTCGCTAGTTGTTGCTTCCGAATCTACGCATTACTTTGGCGTATACTGATTTGAGTTACGCAAGCTAGGATTTGTTTCAGTGCATCCCTTCAGAGACCCCGATGTTTCTCCTCTCTCAATTTCAATTCACTTACCTCTATTCTTGCAGTTGAGCAAGACCGCATGATGATGAAGCGGAAGCCAAATCGGGTCAAAGACAAGACAGGATCACGTATACTATCAACAGGGTTCTCTGTGCAACATACGCTGACAATTAGTATAGGGTTGTAGCTATTTTTAACAGATCATGTGTATGGCCGTTGGTTGCATTGGGGCGACCGCTACTGGTGTCAATCGGCAATGCCTCATTACCTCTCGCAAAATTAGACAATTCACGGGTTGCCAATTAAAATGAAAACAATTCTCGGTGTATGCGTTAGAAGTGGCAAAATTGTGGCCCACCTATCAAGTGAGTGGTCATCAATAGATGGCGGCAACTGTCACAGGAGTAGGTTCACGCAGGATGCGCTCTCGCCCAGACGACTTATCCTATCTGTGGATTGGTTATCGATCCCTAACCTTTTGGACGAAAGTGCACTGACCAGCTACCAAAAGGAACACTTTAGCACAACAGTAGGCATGTCAAGTCTGGGTAAGGGGGTTATCACGACTACATCTGGAACATGAATTTGTGTTTGTTAATCTTATAATTACAGTATCAAAGCAATTTTGTGGTGATCAGTCTATTCGGTAGCCCATCCAGATGGGATACAGTTTCGTCAAGCATGTTGTAAATGGCGGTGACAGATTCTTTCCCTGGTATGGAAGAACCGGAATCCTCTGTTTCACATGTGGTGTATGGGGCACTTGGCCAGAATTTCCTATTCCCAGGAGCCAGCATAAGCGGTCCACTATAGGTCGTCCTGCTGGACACCAAGTCTTTAGGGCTTTGCTTTGATTGGCCCAAGGCATTCGGCTGACTTGTGAGTTGACGGATTTGAGCCTGATGGCGATTACTAAGTTCGATGAGTATTCGTTTCTCCTCTGCCAATCGTCTGATCACCTCAACAGCAGCCCGTAGTTTGTGAGAAAGCTCCGAGTTATATCTCAGTGGCGCTGTTTGGGTTTGTTTATCTGATGCGGTACCCGGGTTTTTGCGCATTTTTTCACTGTGCTCAGCGACTAAATGTGCCTGGGTGGACATGACGTTTATCGAACGTCTCAGGCCAACGTTTTCCGTCTCCAACTTGTCGCACGTGTCTTGCAGTTTTTCCAACTGCTCGAGCAAATGTTGGTTGTCACAATTTCGAGGCGCTTCATTGGGGACGGGGTTGGAAAGTAGTGCTGATTTGAGATCTTTCTCGAGGCGTTTCGCTTCACTGCGGGCCACCCGAGCCTTGCGCTCCGCCAACTGTCGTGCAGTCTGCGCTTCTTCTAACAAACTGCTCATTTTCTGGGTTTCTTTTCGCTCCTTTGAAAGCGCTTCTAAAAGTCGTTGATTCTCCAACGACGCGGCAGTTGCCGCTTCTTCGCGCACGAGTGTTGCAGTCTGAAGCTCCTTTTTGTGCCAATCCAGTTGGGATCTAATTCAGATACATAAAAAAATGAAACAGACTATAGTAAAAATGTCAGTGATTGCAATGGTTCTCTTGAAAACGGATTATTCAAGGTTATGTTGTGCGCAGTCGACACCTGTCCACAGACATTTTAAACTTCGTTAGATGGTTTTTTCATTTTCGAAGAAAAATAAGTGGGAGAGAAAGAGGACCTATGGAAAATCTTGATGCCCTAAACAAACACTCAGAATCAAGGCGCCTACACCTCGTCAACGAAATACCACCAAACAGCTGGTTATCGTGCAAAGATAAGGCGGCATCGGCGAGACAGCTTCCTTCCGGCTTTCACTGCTCAGTGTCATAATCAGTCATTACCCTGCAGATAACTCAGCACCAAACACATTTTAAACAGGCAGTCCGACTAGGAGACAGCAACAAGTATTGCAAGATTATTCTTTTCTCGTAATGTACGCTCGGCTTGTGAAACACATCACATATGTGGCAGTTCCGAAATGTGGTGTAATTCACCGACGAGTATCATCGAATCTGACTGCAATTTTTAGTCCCTTCAAATAAACAGTTCCCGGATACCGTACCGACCTCATGTGTGACGTTAATGATATATGCCACGTAGGCATTGTGTTCACTACCAACATATGACACGACTGCATTTTTGGCATGAGTGTAGCAAATTTCTTACACAGATGAGGGTTTCTGTTGCGACGCAACCACCGTACTCGCGATGGGAACGGTCCTTAAAATGTCTCGATGGTTTGCATATCCTCATGATCCGTTGAATCACATTGAGTTGTTCGTATACCCATTCCTACTCATAGGCCCATGTTTAGAATTCAAACGAAACTCGTTCCCATCCTCAGGGTCTGGTGAGTTCGATGGTCTCCTCAAAAACTAAGACAGGAAAAATAACGGCTTCACTGGCAAGGGACACGGACCTTTCCGAACAGTGAGCGGTCGTACCCGTTACTAGTTGGTCTTTGCCGCCTGCTCCGAATCAGATAGCTCCGGTCAGTAACACAGCCGAAAAATATGGAATGATTGTTCCAAACTCCTTGGAGCCTCGTGGTTCCAATCCCAAGCAACGAATGTTTTTATTCGGATGTGTACTAAGAGCTTTTACACGGTTCAAACTCATGAATCAAAGCCAATATGTCTAAAGCATCAAACATGGCCTCTTCCAGAACAAGAAGCCGGGGAGCACAACGCAACCGCAAGAATCGGTTGCCAGTATTCTTTCCCGCTCGCCTTTTCCCATCCGTTAGAAATCTTTTTATTCGAGACTAGTCAGCGACATCCAGTCCCGATTTTCGCACCTGATGCTGTCAGCGTACTTAAATCGTTTTCCTTTGAATCAAAAGCCTCATTTCGCTCTGGGTTTTGTAACGACTGATTTGCCTGATCGCACTACGCTTATAACCGATATATACGTGTTATAACGCTGTACCCACAATCGACCGGTTGATTCACGCCTGTTGGTAAATCTGCGCCCTTACGCCTGCTCTGCTTGACGCCTTGGCAAACCCGACAGCAAAGAAGACAGAAGACTTAGCCGACCAAATTTGTATTAGGACCGAGAACGCTCATATTTATAGACCGGTCTCACCAATCCTCTAAACACCGCCTGGCTGATTTGGCTACCTATCTTCTTCGTACGTCCACGCTCCACACTTGACTCACCGCTCTGTCTGGCCAGTTCACCGTCTTCCTCGGGCACACCAGTCTTCATCTGCTTTGCCGGGGCATGGCAACGTACATGATGTCTGACGCGCAATTTCATCAGCTTCCGGTCAGACCTTGGCAACACGCATGATGTCTGATGAGCGATTTCATCAGCTTTCGGCTGGGCCGTGGCAACACGCTCGCGGGGTCTGTCCCAAGCACACGTTGTGGCGAACACGCGCGCGTTGGCAGTCAGCTTTCTCGCTCAGCTGTCAATACGAATACCGAAGAGCTGCGTGAAGCAATCGATCGCTTCGTCAACATACGTAATTTTGTCGCTCCTGGCGATTAGTTCTCTTCAGAAATAGTTGGATACATCCGTTAGTCAATGAGACGCAACCTGTGCAATACTGTGGTGGACAGCTCTGCAGCACGGATCAGAACGAAATCACCAGAGGACAGCTCTAACTGTCGCTACTTAGATGGCATCGCCCAAATATAGTGAGGTCAGTAAGTAATTGACGTTGAGATTCATCATTTGGTGTGCAGAAGCGAATGATATAACAGTGGCTTATACAGCCATCCAAAAAGGGATTCTTGCGATACTTCGCATTTCGAAAACTAATGGACTTACCTGGACTGCTACCCGTTCTGAAATATGTGTCTCAACTATGATTATGCTTTGATATGCTGTCGTTTTTCCATGAACTTTACCGGGAGGCGTATCAAGCGTCTCGCTATTCGCAACTCAGGAGTTATCCCAGCACTCGGTCAGGCAAGCCAAGCATGATGCCCTGCGTAGTGTGCTTTCACCCTCGCCCTGAGGACATCGAGCTTCAGCGGAATAGGATCTCGCGGTACTATCAGTCTTCACCGCACCAACCAATGGATGTCAAGTAAAAGAACATGTTGGAATTCAGAAGAAAACTCCCTGCTTTGTTGCAGGGTTTTGGAGCACAATGTAAGTAAAAGGACTACGACTAGGCGCGAATTAAAGCGGAACATGTGCGCTGACAAGAAAACATAGTAGACTAGTGGAGCTCAAGAAATAGAGGAGGCGGGAACAGTAGGCAACTATAGTAAGGTCCTTCAACCGATCTGCTCCACTGGTCTCAGGAAACCAGGCGTCAGCGAGACAACCAGAGACAGCGCGGGTGCCATGATTCACAATAAGGAGTGCAGTATGGCTCGTTGGATGGAGCACTTTCAAGATCAGTTCAGCTGGCCCTCTGATTTCGGACCCTTTCCTACTTACCTGACTAGGCTGATCCATGGAGGGTTGGTTTAGAGGCTTCATCAGAGGCTGAGGTTCGAAACACAGTCACAGTCCTTAATAGTTTTGGAGCTGCTGGTCCAAATTCCTTTACGCGCACACTATTCACGGATGTTGATGTAGTCACTCTGCACAGCGCTGATACACCCGTTCTAGAAAGTCTCGAGGAATGAGGGAATCGATTATAGTGGCAATATACAAGAAGGGCAGTCGCATGGACTGTGCTAACGCCGGTGGTGACAAAATTACTGGCCTCAATTCTCGTTCGTCGCCCCACTACGAAATGCAAATCCTGGATTAGGTAAAAGCAAACAGGTTCCCGCTCAGGATGGGGTTGTATAGACCTCTTTTTTACTCATCGGCAAGTGCTATAGCAGCGCCACACGTACCTCGACTTGGATAGTGCGTTAGACTCAGTCGATCGATCAATTCTGTTCGGGTGTTCTCATGAAACCAAAATATTTTACGCGCAATATACTCGAACACGACAGGTTGCGTCATGCTCTACGGTGACGTGTCGGATCTTTCTGACAACAGGTGGCGTTCGTCAACGTTGTTCAGTTTCCCCATATTCGTTCAACTTCATCGTGCACTCTATCATGAAGTGTTCCCTTGCGGAATCTCACGATGCAGAAGCTGAATTGCTGCCTGGTGGAAAACTAGTTAAATCTGCCTATGCCGATACTGAGATGATCCAGTCAACTCTGATTCTACCCGGTTGGCATACACTTCGCAACTTCGGAATGCAAAGTGTAGTTGCAGGACCACTAGCCACTTAATAGCGTGCAACTCGAGGTAGTTGATCAATTTCTCTAGGCAGCTGCATTTAGCAAGTGCTGAAGTTAGTTCAAGTATTTCAAAAGCCGGGACCGCGTTCTTGACCTTGCGGCTTCTGTGGCGTTAGGTTTCCATGGATCTGGTCTGTAAGGCCATATTTACAAGGCCACAGTGAGAGTCGTCCCACTCTATGGTACCGAGAATTGGCCCCTTTGATCTGATAAGCTGAAGCACCTTCAAGGTTTTGAACATCGCCTACGGAGCAATACTGGTGTCGGATGGCACCAGTATGTCTGCAAGGATGAAGTGCGTATGCGAGTACTAGGCGGTGATATTCAGACTAGGTAAGTAGAACAAAAGTAACTGAATAATTTGTGTTGACTAGGGCACGTACTACGTATGCCTGATCACCGCTTACCTAGGAGTATCTTGTTTAGTCTGCCATATGTAGGGTGTCGAAAGTCTCGAGGTAGGCAGAAGTTGACTTGGCAGCTTGAAATGAAGTCACTGATGACCCAAGTTGGTGCCCTCGGTCCGTCTCGTCTTCCAGGCTGGAGTCCGCGTTACTCGCTTTCTACTTGGCTCGAGACAGTGTAGGACATGGGTAACAGTTGGCATCAGTGGTGCGTTTGCTGCCATCTTCTAGTTAGACTTCATGATACTGACGTATCTGCGGGGTAGTGGATGATTGTGAGACAGGGCCAGTGCAAGTCCCGAAGAAGTAGTCTCGCCAATGTGACCTTATATTTGTGCGATAGCCTGCTGTTTGTGACGGCTTGTTGTTGACAAGGTGAAGGCGCCTTGATCTTGAGTGTTCTCTTACAGAATTAACGTTTTACGCTAGTTCCCCATTCTCTCCCTCTTAGTACTCTTCATTCCGTAAGCCATTGTGGCTGTGTGATATAGAAGGACCAGTCCAGAGAGCGGATGTAATGCTGTTGTCGTTGTAACATACAGGACAATTTGAGCTAAACCAACTGTATTATTGTCGAATAGCATTGGTATCCCTATCAGTGTTTACAAGGGTGGTCTCCAATAAAATGGGATATAAACCGAGAGATTAACTAGTATTGCGATTATAACGTTTAGTCGGAAGTAGGATGAGTATTGTATACCAATTTAATAGTAAAGGTTTATCGTTGCCAACTAGATTCACAAGCTTCTTCATTTGGCCACGACATAACCCCTCGGACTGGTTGCCAGAAGAGTGCATCTTAGCGGATATCTGTTACTGCAGGCACATAAGCGTTAATTCCATTGCGGAACCGAGAGTCACTGTTATTAATTCGTAGGTAGGCCAGTACAGAATGACGGCGAAGAGTAAGATGAACTCTTATGATAATTCGATAATCTCTTTACAGACCAGTAATGCTTCAGAAACATCAGTGATTCGGTTTCGCGGATGTTTCCACGACTTTTAGTGGAGGAATCCAACGGAGTGTAAAGATAGCTAATAGGATAATTATGAACTAACTTAAATTGTAGATTAGCACGCCTGTTCTCTGCTACATTCATGACGATCCATGGTTGGGTCAGCAAAAACCTGTAGCACAGTAAAAATCAGCAGGCGTAAGCACCTGCCCATCAATAAATCCTCACCTCATTTCTTCCAGTTGGTCCATTAACCTTTGCTTTTCAGACTTTGAATCGGCCTCTAAACGACTGCGCGCTGTCTCCGCAGCTGCTACTCGTTGTTCTTCCATGTCCAAAGCAGTTTGCTGTTCATGAATTTTGGTTTGGAGGAGTCCTACTTCATTCCGAGTCGAAGACACTGTGGCTTCCAATTCAGCTATCTGCTTGTCTTTGGCTTCAATTTGTTTGTGCAGTTCGTTCTTGTTCTCTGCAACGCGGTTATACATATCTTCATACAAACGAACTCGAAGTTCAAGTTCAAACTGTCGCTGTGACGCCTGCAAAGCCTGTTCTTCTGCTTCTTTCTTCAGCTTGGACATCGTTTCATCTAGGTCTGAAGCAAATCGTATCTTCTCCGTTTCCATATCCGCTTTTAAACGAGTTATTGTAGTTTGTAATTTCGACCGTTCGGATGCCTCTGACTGTCTCAAAGCCTCCATTGTAAGCTTGTGCTGGTATCGCAAGTCTTCTTCGCGATGAATGCTTTTCGCTCGCTGGGCATCTAGTTCATTTTGAAGCTCCTGCTCAATCTTTTTCGAAACATCGAGCTGTGCGTGACATCTGTCAAGTGATGCTTTGACCTCACTTATATGTAGGTCACGAGCATGCAGATCCTAGACGAGGGAGAGCGTAGAACAAGAAAAAACGCAGCGTAAACAATGTGCCGTCGGAACCATGGCCAAAAAAGGGGTTAAGGAAATACAATAGCAGAAAAATGTTTTTGGGGGTTTTACACATGCCATTTCGAACTTTTATGGAGGTATATATATATATATATATATATATATATATATATATATATGATTATACATTAACAAATTATGCGGTTGAACAACAATGTCGCCACTGATGTCTGTTGCACGTCATAACCCCCCGGCGTTTCCAACCACTGGCAGTCCGAGTCGCGTGGTCCCCATCCTGGAAGGCGGACCGGTCCGACGGATGCTAAGCTTGAGGTTGCCTTTTTCATGCTCCTTCTCCACGCTATTGGTTGCCCACCGAGGCAATTTTTCCAGTCGCCTCCGGGGAGCGCAAATAACGCTCGACGGGGAAGGCAATATGCTGGCATGCGTAATACGTGGTCGAGCCAACGTATACGGTGTCGGAGAATAACGTTTTGGAGGCATGGGCTGTTTGCTTCAAGCACTCGGTCTAGGACTTCTGTGTTGCTTACGTGATGTTGCCATCACACGCGAGCAATTCTACACAGACAACGATTGTCGAAAACTGACACTTGCTTCATGTCTGCCGAGCGAATAGACCAGGTCTCACAGACGTACAAGAGGATCACACGGACAGAGGCAATGTACACCCTCCTCTCAGCTTGAGACTGACATCGCGACGATGCCATAGGTGTCTGTCTGATGAAAGTAAGGCGGGCGTTTGCGATCCGTTGTGAGACCTCACCTCCAACACCGCCGCCAGGCGTGATGCAAATCCCTAGATAAGTGAAGCAGGGGACTTGTTCCAAGACGCCATCAACAATGATGTGGGTATGCACAGTCATCTGCCAATCCTGGAGTAGTATTTTGCGCTTGCCTGGTGTAAAATACAAACCATACCTGAACGCTTCCAACGTTAGGCGGTTCAAAGCGCTATGGACGGCTTGTGGATCGTCCACAAGCAAAGCGATATCATCGGCGTAGTCCAAGTCCGCAACTCGGTCACCTGGGAGAAGCGCAATACCGCAGTTTTGGACGCCTTCCAATGCTCGTTGGACGACATCTTCAGTGGTAAAATTGAAGAGGAAAGGTGAAATAGGGCAACCTTGGAGAACGCCACTGGTGACAGCAAACGGAGATGAAAGCTCTGACATTGCCCGACGTGTGGCTGTAGAGTTAATTCAGAATGGTTGCAAACTTGTCGGGCACACCTTTCCTTAGTAGAAATTTTTACAACGCAGATCTATCTAGAGTCAAATGCCGCTAAGATGTCCAAGAGCACTACGATTGGTAGCTGTCGGTGGGCGTGAAGGAATTCAAGAAGTTAGCGGAATGTGAAGATTTGGTTGATGCAACCTATGCCTGGACGAAAACCGACTTGTTCCTCTAGGGAAACGCCCTCTCTAATCGCTGGAAGCCTGTGGAGTAGGACAAACAAGAAAATCTTAAACGCAACAGAGATCAACGAAATTCCGCAGTAATTGGCGCAATCTTCGCGGGAGCCTTTCTTGTGGATCGGGGCAATGACCGATTCCCCCCATGCAATTGGGACTTTCTCGTCATTCCAAACACACGTGAACAGTGGCGGGGTGAACATCTCAGTAGGCTTACAAACAGGAAATATGCTGCATCATCTAGACGTGAATCGCAGGTTTTTACAGGACATCCGCTGTAACATCCAACGTTTTTATTGCTTAGGATGTCTAGTTCCCCCTAAAACTATACAGAGAAGAAAACGTAGACTGACTATCGTTGCGCCTATATCAACTTCGGAAACTACACTAATTTACTTGGTCACAATAACGAGTACCTGTGATTCATCCCTAAGTAGGCAGGAGTATTCTCGAATGGATGCAACCACTCTATGTATCATCTGTCATAATCCCACGCTATCCCCACTCGTATTTCCATCCACTTCTATGAGGCTGTTTTCACATTCCTGTCATCATATTGCATCTAAAAGTCAAAATTTTCTGCAGCCTGCCGTTGGCTAATGGATTCTATAAAGTCAGACGTAGGCATTCCCACAAGAAAAAGCCTGTCGGCGATTCACCTTTCCTTTCCCGATGATCCCAATTATGTGATTCCGAGTATCTTACGTAGTGTAACTAGGAAATCGGGAAGATTTTCGGGCTGGCCTACTACGGAGTGTGGAAATATATCGAATGAAGCAAGCAGAAAGATGACTTATTTGCGTTGGTCGTCAGCTACAGTGACAGCTGGTACATCGGTGGACACTGTACCTGAAAAATATGCTGACCAAAAAAAGTTCAGTACCAATGCACCAGGAAAATAAATACGCAACCTCGTATGTAATCGTGCAGTTAAATACAAGCTTACTATATGGAGCATTTCTTTTGCACTGTTGCCTACTTTAAACGCATCATCATCATAATCATTAACAGCAGTACATCATCAATCATCATCAAAAAAGGCAGTACATCAGACGTTTGAGCTGATGCTTCGCTGCCATACAATCACGACGACCTATGAAATAAAGGATAATAAGAGGGAGAGAAGGGGGACTTACCGATAAAACCTTAATGACCTAAGCAAACATTCAACATCAAGGCGCCTACACCTTGTGTAGACAACATACAGTCACAAACAGCTGGCTATCGTGCAAAGATAAGGCGGCATCGGCGAGACAGCTTCCTTCCGGCTTTCACTGCCACGCGTCATAATCAGCCATTACCCCGCAGATAACTCAGCACCAAACACACTTTAAACAGCCAATCCAATTAGGAGACGGCAGCAGACGCGCCACTGGTGCCTACTGCAAGCTATGTCCTGTAACGTCTCGAGCCAAGCACAAGGCGAGTCACGTGGACTCCAGCCCGGAAGACGAGACGGACCAACGGCACCCAGTTTGGTCGTCAGTGACTTCATTTCCCCCTGCCAAGTCAACTTCTGTCCACCGTGAGCCTTGCGCAATCCTACACCTGGTGGACTGAACAAGGCCCTCCTAGGTAAGCGGAGATCAGGCATGCGTAGCAAGTGCCCGAGCCAACGCAACTTATTCAGTGCTATCTGTTGTTCTAGGGAGCTAGCATGATTATCACTTTCTAGTACTCGCCTACGCACATCATCGTTGCGAACACGCTGGTGCCATCCGACACCAGCAATGCTTCGCAAACAACGATGATCAAAGATTTGAAGGCGCCTCAGATCTTCAGACCGAAGGGGCCAAGTCTCACTAGTATAGAGCAAAACGGCCCTCACTGTGGCCTTGTATACACGGCCTTTCAGACGGAGGGAAATTCCCTTCTGTCGCCAAAGACGCCGCAGGTTCAATAAGGCAGCTCTGGCCTTTGCAATGCGTGAGCTGACGTCAGTTCCTATGCGCCCATCGTTGCTGATGCAGCTGCCAAGATAAGTGAAATGATCAACCACCTCGAGTTCCTCGTTAGCAAGCGTCAAGGGGTCATCAAGTGGCTGGTGGTCCTGCAGCAACACTTTGCACTTTGAAGGTGAAAGTGCATACTAAACAATGGAAACACATTAAAGAGGTTAAACAGGGTTGACTGGGCAGCCCCAACATCATTGAACAGCAAGATGATATCGTCCGCATAATCAAGATCAACTAATCTTTTTCCAGGCAGCACTTCAACGCCTACATCGTTGGATTCCAAAAAAGAACACTCCATGATATAATCCACGACGAAATTGAACAAAAATGGGGAAATCGAGCAACTCTGACGAACGCCACTTGTGGTCGGAAAGCTATCCGTTAGGACACCGTAGACCCTGACGCGGCCTGTAGTGTTCGGGTATAGAGCACGAAGGATGTTCACATATTTCGTGGGAACACCTTTCCGCTCAAGAATTTCGCAAAGAATACATCGATCGACTAAATCGAACGCATTCTTGAAATCGAGGAACACAGCTATTGTCGGTCTGCGGCATGCGTGGCGCTGCTCTAGCACCTGCCGTAAAGTGAATATATGGTCTATACAGCCACGCCCTGGGCGGAAACCGGCCTACTATTCCCTATTTCGGGATTCCCGTTCCGCAGTGAGGCGACGAACGAAAACTGTGGTCAGTAATTTTCCCACAACCAGTGTAGGCTAATACCCTGTGGTTAGCACAGTCGGTGTGATTGTTCCTCTTGTAAATTGCCAGTATAATCAATTCACTCCAGTTATCCGGGACAGTCTTTTCCTCCCAGACGTTCGAACAGGGAGGTCAGTGCTTTGCAGATGACCTCACCTCCATCCTTAAATAGTGCAAGTGGGAGGGAATCTGGGCCAGTAGCACCAAACGATTGAGGACCGTGACCCAGTTTCAGACCTCAGCTTCTAATGCAGCCCCTTAAGTAACCGTCCATGGTCCATCCTGTATCACTTCAGTAGGTAAAGGTCCGGAAGTAGGGGGCCAACTAAACCGATCCTGGAAGCACTCCGTCCAACGAGCCATATGGCGCTCCTTATTGTGTATCAGTGCACCCTCGCGGTCTCTAATTGTCTCACTGACGCCTGGTTTCCTGGGACCAATGGTTCAGATCAGCTGGAAGAGCTTGCGGTAATTGCCTACTGCTCCTGCCTCCTCCATTTCTTGAGCCCGACTGGTCCACCAGGCTTTCTTGTCAGCACGTAGGCTCCGTCAGTTTGCGCCTAATAGCCCGTCTGGTCACAATGTGCTCAGAGCCAGCCGGGAGGTTTCTTCTAGATTTCAACAGATTCACCGACCTCTCTGATATCCAGTGACTGGTGCGGTGACCATTGATAGTGCCACAAGCAGATACTCCTGCGTCGTGCATGATGGCCGAGATCCTATTCCATTGAAGCTCTGTGTCATTAGAACAAGACAGCGAAAATTCGGTATGCACTCTTGATAAGCTTGCCTAATAACAGTACATCAGTCATATGAACTGACGCTTCGCTGCCATACAGC